CTGAGTCTTCTTGTCTGTCAACTTCGACGCGCTTGTCCGGTTTTTTGAACTTGTCTTTTCTCTTGCGGTTTTGGAGCGGCTCTGCTTTGATTTTGATTTCTTTGCTTTCTTTCCCTTCCGAATACCTTTGTCATCGGGTCCAGATGTTGCGGATGACTTTGAACGAGTCTTCCCCGTTTTTGGCATCCTTGCAGAGTCCTCTGAAAAGCTTCCGGTTGCTGAGGATTCGAGCTTTCACTAGCTATGAGACAACGAACCGTTACGGCACCAGCGAAGTCGATGGAATGATCTTACCTGATTAGCAACCCCTATTATCTAACGTGAATGATCCCATTTCATGTGCGATATGATTCGCCTAATAGTGAGTTGATAGCGGGTATGTAGCAAGAGAATCGTATTTTGCTGCAAAACTGGGCGTCGCGTGCGACGTCGCGCCTGCTAATGACGACGATTTCAGGTGATTGGTCGAGAATAGACAATGTATGACCAAAATAGACATAAGTGTCTACCATGTCCTTGTCTACATGAAATCCGATGCTCCAATCGAAAGGGTAGTGCAAATTAGGAAACGTCGCGCCCATTGCCGCGCGCGACGAAGCGGCAGTGTACGATTCTATTGTACGGCTCCCTTTGATAACGGCTGTACTCACTGCTGTATGTGTCTGGTAAGAAAGACAGAGTTGCACGAGTTTAATCAATCGGGCTCAAAGGCACGCCCCGCGTCACAATGATTCTTGAAATGATGAGTTGTGCGGCTTAAACATTAACGACGATGGTAAAACTTTTTAGTGTTGGAGAAAGCAGAAAAAAATTGTTCGAGTAACCCTACATTGGCGTCCATGCGAAACCATCCCGGTAGGTGCATAAGGCGCAGAGAGGGGTGGTGGGAGGAGTTCTGACGTGCTGGGATCAGCTCTTTTCCTCATAATCTCACTCTCAAAACTGGAATGGAGAGTGTTTGTGACGAGATGACTGCACTTGTAGGCAGTCTTAAGAAAGGAAGTTTACGATCTGCGTTGAGCTGCGGTGTAGCGGTGTAGGGTGGGGGGGGGGCGTCGCATTCGTCGGAAGTGGGTCGCGCCTTCTTCCTTTCTCACAAAAGCGCTACATACTTTCGCTTGTGGATCTGGATGCCAAATGCCTGCACTGTCACGTCCGAAGAAGGTGCATTTGGCATTCAGGTCCGCACTCGCATAGCGTGTACCAGTTGGTCTCTCGAAAGGGCGAGATAAAGCGGCCACAGACGCTTGACTCCTGTGCTCTTCGTTTGTTTCAGTTTACAAGACAACGACTTCACACGGTGGATGACGTGTATGCATTCCGTTGCCTGCAGCGTCGTAGGGTGATTTCATATGCTCGCTGGTCAGAATCTTAGCTTGTCCACTTTTTTGCGGACTCACGAGTTGTGATGGATGTCTCTTGAAAACATGGGTCAGTAGGCGTCCACTTCGCAAGGCAAAATGCGTCTGGGCGCTGGTTATCTTCAGCAGTGATGCACTCGCGTTGGTACAAAAGGTCGTTAAGCATTTTTTCTTTTTCATTTTCTAGTCCTAACTTCCAGCACAGAGTTTTTGATATCTGTTCTCTGTCCCAATGTTTCTTTATTTTTTCTAGTGTTGGATAGCATTTGGTGCAGAAACGATTTATGAGCCAGGGTCCGCACGCTGTCGAAATGCCAGCAAGAACTCTTACAATGAGGCTGTGAGACAGTCAGAAAGCGTTTTGTTTGAGGTGTTTCGGGGTTTTTTGCTCCCTTTCTCTACTGGGTAGTCAATTATGGGCTACTGGTTCGCGGTTGAACACCCACTACCCGTAATCCTTGATCGCGATCAGTGTCTCCAAGATCAAAAAAGCAAGGCACAGCGAATCAAAAGCGAGCCGTTGGCTGCATCTCACCTAAGTATAAAGGCTTCTTTCTATGCAGAGTATGTAAGTGAATAGGGACCGGGGTTGCTTGCAAGTATAAATCTGCTAATTTGAGTGCTGCAGTGGGAAAGTGTGCTAACTTCAAGGGTCTTCAAATGCCTTGCTAAGTCCGAAGTGAAAGTGGTTGTGGCCGAGTTTTGCGTATTAGTGCTATGCATTGAGCATAGCCGGAAAGGAAGAAAGTAAGTATGTCACGCCCATTGAATGCCCTCCTGCTGCAACTTTCAGTTTTACATGGCGATTACGAGAACAACAAAGCGATGAGAAAACTGAATTACCTAATGCACGTGTTATCATTCTCTATGCGAGTGACCTTGAGCTGATCAATATAAGACCCTCTCGAAGTTGAACTCAACAAGGGATCCTCACTCTCACATTTACTTGACTTCTTCTATTGACCTCTTGCTTCAAACCAACCACTTCATTTATGCACATTTGTCATTCAATCTTTAATTTCTAGAGATGGGAACAACCGTTTTGGCTAGCGGAGTGGCCACTGTTACAGCAGTGGCAGTAATAGCTTCATTGATTACTGTAGTCTATATTGTCAACGACATCAACACCTTCTACGATGACGTCATTTCTGAGCTGGACAGCTTCAAAGTTGGTGATTACTTTTCCCCAAACTAACTTTCCCCCAACTACAACAAAAACAAAGTACTGAATACCTATGTCAAGCTTCCAATTTAGGACCTGGCCAATTCTGCATGGCACGAGATGAGATCCACACCCGAAATGGCACGAGACAAACGCGCAGCGTTTGTAAAGCGTAGGCAAACTGGCTACAGCACAGGAACAGGAGGATCGTGTAATTGTGGTAGACAAGCCACCGGATGTCCACCGGGACCTCCGGGGCCTCCTGGACAACCCGGACTGCCCGGTGAAAATGGGCAGCCTGGACAACCGGGAAGGCCAGGAAACAGTGGTAATAATGGAGGTACAGGGGGCGGTGGTTGCATCTCTTGTCCGGTTGGCCCTCCAGGACCACCAGGTCCTGATGGAAGTGCTGGACCACCTGGACCTGCCGGAAATCCCGGAGCTCCTGGAGGCGGATCTGGATTGTCACCTCCTGGACCTCCCGGACCACCTGGAGACGCTGGACAACCTGGAAGTGATGGACAAGCCAGGATCTCCCGGGCAAGCCGGGAGCACCTGGAACTAGCGGAGCAGGACAACCTGGACCTCCTGGTCCCTCCAGGACCAAATGGAGCACCTGGACAACCTGGACAGGATGGCACCGCTGGTGGTGGAAGTACTGCTGGACCACCAGGACCACCAGGACCAAGCGGAAACCCTGGACAGCCTGGAGCTCCTGGAGCACCCGGAGCTCCCGGTACGGATGCTCCACCTGGTGGCGATGGAGAATACTGTCCATGTCCTCCACGGAACGGATATAATGGAGGCAGCAATGGCGGAGGTGGCAGTAGCGGAGGCGGTGGTGGCACCAGCGGTGGATCTGGTGGTAAATACCCCAGTCGTAAGGTTGCTCGTCGCCGTTTTAGCAAGAAGCGTGTGTCCAGAAGTAAGACAGCAAGAAAGGTCGCGAGAAAGGTAGCACGAAAAGCTTAAGTGCTATTGATTTGTGTCCCTACTTCAATAAATGTTTCATTGATGCTGGTGTGTACTGAAGAGAAGGGCAGCCTTATACTGTCAGAGGACTGTGTTCCTATTCCAAAAGCACGTACGTGAAGGAGTGTGTGCACGAAAAGAGACATTCTTATGGTCAGCAGGCTCAGCATAACCTCGGACTTTGTGATGCTATGAGAATTGGCTTGTTTTCTGTTTTGAATGACCAGAGGGCAACATAGAGAAACGCGTTTTGAACAGATAATGAGGTTGTTTCTGTCTTCTCATAGGGCTTATTCTAGAGAACTTCCCAACACAGAAATATGGGGCCATCGGTAGGAGCCGCCTCATGTTTTCGCGTAGAAATCGACTAGCCAATCACATCTTCTAACACAGTGATACACATATTTTATCTACTGTCCTGTCTTCAGGTTACTTTGGCCCACAGACTTATATGATTTCAAGGACCTACTTAAGACATATCATCTAAGCTCCTCTCAGAAAAAGCACCCACAACTTTGCCCTTCTAAGCCTTCCAAGAACAGTGAATGCCTTTGATTCCTAGATGAGCTTCAAACGGTTTGGCTTCTTTCACGTTAATTTCATCCGCTTTCACTTCAGGCACCATATGGTGCACAGTTTCTTGGAACTTTCTTTTTCCTTGCGTAGCAAACGCACTCATAACTCGGAAACCTCATCGCCCGCCAAATTAGCTACTGAGATGACCCACAGCTCCCGCCGAGGCCTATTACTGATTCGCTCATTTGCTACCCCCGATGGGAACACCCTGATGCTACTCAGTAATGTTGTTGATAAGTCAACTACAGTATTAGTAATAAAGTCACCGACTACTGCCGCTATAATTTCGCTTCACGTGAAGCGGCCGCAGAACCAGGACACATTTGGTTTACTCCTTGCAAATGAAAGGGTGTATGGAACGGAGCGAAGCCAAGGGCGATCTTATCCCAACAATAATATAATCCTAAACCGCTACCATTGCTGAGCAATCTCACCTCTCCAAGCCAGGCCTCTGTCACACGCCCTTGCGCTTGCGGGGATCATGAGTGCTCCTCATCATTCAAACCAAAAAGGGGGAGGATATAGCTTGCGCTGGAGTTCTGGAGGTTTGCAAACACGACCTGATTCTTGAACCTGGTCCCAATTCACTTATCTAGAGAATCTTGCAGTGCAGGATACGTTTTCCTGTGATCGTTAAATCCTCTCCTCGAACAAAACGGATAAGCACACCCCAATCTTGTGCTCAAAGAGCGAACGTTTTATTTCTCCGACATCGTCATGAACTTGCTTGCCCTTTTCACCTCTTCTTACGAAAATCGCAAATGAAAAAGTACAGCCATTGACTTAGAATTTAGAATCTTAGAATTTTCGTTCGAAGTGGTTTCGACAACTTCGCCGAAAGAGTCCTTTTACGGCATTTTTCCCCTGGGTGTGTCGTTAGGTCCGTGTCTACGCATATACCCACCGTGGCATAAACCAGACGGTTTAAAAAATAATTCCTGGTCTAAAGACTCAGTAATAAGTTCTCTGCGCAGATAGGTAGCGTCAACCTCGCATGACTCATCCGCGAGAGTGCAACTGAGGACCAACTACAGAAAATTTCAGTATAACGGAAGTAAAAGTGGAGATAAAGAGATTTATGTAAGATCGTTCGTCAATTCAATCCTGAGCAGAAAGAGTCGTCATAACTTCTTGCTTCCTTCGTGTGACAAACAAATTTCTTCCTGCATTTGTCTTCCTTGTAACACTCGTGATTGAAGTCATTTCGATAGTAAAACCTGAAGTGCTCAGTTACGAATTATTTGTGTATTTCAACTTGGTACCCATTTACTACAAATTTGTATATTCCAGGTTTCAGTAAGACACTTTAGCTTCAACGAAGGTGTTCTCTGGGGGGGGGGGAATGATGTCAATCACTGCTAGTAATATGAAAAAAATAGAAAGCTGCGTTCATACTTTGGGCAGCGTCCACCAGCAACCATCAGCGTTTCGAGCGTCCGTCAGCGTCAGCGACTAGGAAAGTGTAGATATTTATCTAGCGAATGCCAGCGTCTTGCAGCATCCACCAGCGTCCGCTAGCGAATCAGCGTCGCGAGGTACTAGATAAGTACGGATATTGATCTAGAAAACGCCAACGTCCACTAGGGACCAGGAGTACGGTATTGTGTAGAAGGAGGGTGTAGTTGCACAAGCCACAATTTCACCATGCCTAATCCCTGTCTCCTTCCAACTACCCATATTCTACCAGCAGTGCGCTACCCTTCTGCAACCCCATTTTCTCTACACCTGGACGCTAGTAGACGCTGGTGGACGCTGGTAAACCCTGGCATTCGCCAGATCGATATCCATACTTCCCTAGCCTTTCGAGACGCTAATGTTCGCTGGTGGGCACTAGTAGACGCTGCTAGCCGATTAACTTTTACATGTTGAACCTCTTGATCCGAATGTCATCAACCCAGATAGCAGCACGTCAGTGGGGTAACCATGAGATTCTATGTGATATTGAACAATGAGTTGAATGTGGTATAGTGGCAAGTGGCCCGCTTACCAAATGCCCCATCTGAAGCAGATTCTTGTCTGCAGCTCGGCACAGCTGAGCCTTCTACCACCTACTGACGGTAAATTGATAACAAGTTTGCCTGGGAATAAAAACAGCGCCTTTCACATTGGCTGGCCTGGTAAGTTGCTTCGTATTAGCATCCCATCCAAAAAAGGGAAGGTTTTAGTCAAATAAAACTGAGCCAAACAGGTAAAAAAGGATGTTTCAGTTTCAAGTTGAGTAGATCCCACTTCCATCAATTCAATGACCTGCTGCCAGAGCCTCAGGAGCTTTTGGACCATTGACACCTTCATTTTTTCAACAAGTGCGAGGAAATTGCTGTTGATTCCGATTTCGGGGAATGACGAAACGTGAGTTCGCCATTGGACTGTCCAGAACAGGTTAAATTGCACGGCTGTAGGTCGGGCGAATAGGCGATTGAACCCAGGTCTCAGTATTGTTTGTGTCCCAGCACTGCCCAACAATACAGTTACTCGGGGTCTGGCACTATGACGAGCAACGGTGGCCTTCTTGTAGCTGTGCACCATCCATTTTTCAATCTGATTGTCGAGGAACAGGTCAATGTGCCCCGACAGTGACGGAATGTCAGACGTGTGGATACACATACAGGGGGGCCAAAAAAAAGACTTTTTCTTCCTTGACTTTCGAGGCGCTATAAGTTACACTTTATTAAATTCTTATCGGACATTTCTACACCATATTAAAGAGCATATTAAATACTATCACGATACTCCGCCACAGCCTTCTGGAGGAGCGCCATCGAGAGA